GCCAAGATACGGGATAGTTCTAGAAACAAGAGAGCGTGAGAATTGTCACGTGATCTCGATGACGCAACACTATTTTTCCTGAGCAGAACAAGTATTATCTATGACAGAACAACAAAAGAATAAAATTAACTATAATGAGATCAACTTTCTCAATCACTTGTTATGCGAAACCTGCACATATATAACATAAATGATAAATTCAGAAAAACTATAATATTACAATAAAATAGAAATACATGGCATGTTGTTTTCCATGCATTAATCACTTCCCTACTTCAGGCTTTTCCTCAAGTTCATAATTAATTTCAACCTTATATTCGCACCTTAAGTGGCCGATGAATGAAATCGTAAATAAATATCCTTTAAATTAACAAAGATTGAAATGCATTACTACTGAAACTCTTTAACAACAATAAACACACTACACGATGAAAATATAGTAATAATGAAAATAAAACCTGTAATGATTCATTAACGTGAAAATGAAACACTTTAAGCAAGTAGTTGCATATGTACATAAAAAAATCCTTTAACAGAGATTGCAAATACACACACAAACTTTTAATTAAATCTTTTAACATAGAAAATTCATATTAAAATCATCCTTTTAAAAATGATCGCCTCGCCTACCCCCTTAATTATGGGATTGTCTAACACACTCTGCAGATACCCAAAATAAAACCAAATGAAAACCCCTAACAAAGATAATTACCAAAAGTTTCTTTTAGCATAGAAAAATTGTACATCAAATAACACTTTTTAACACTGAATTAAATGACATTAAATACAAAATAATCACACAAGCAGAATCTCTTTAATTATAACATCTCGAAATAATTTTAATCGTTCATACTACATGTATACTAAACCATTTGAAAAAAGCAAGATAAACGAAAGGAATACAAAATAATAAGGCACCAAAATCCAATTATCAATTGAATGTATATATCAAAATAAAACATGCATGAAAATGCACACAAGCTTTTTTAAATTAAACAAAATCACATTATATACCATAATGCAATACAAAAATAAAATTAAGTCCTAATATTAAGTAATTAAGTAATAATAGTAAGTAGAATAAAATCAAAATATAAAAAGATTCAGAGATATCTATAAGTATACAATATACACACTAACTCAAATAAATGAGTAAAATAATATATTGTTATGCCTCTGTGTTCGTTTGTTAATTTTCCGTAAAAATTATTTCCGAAGAAACTTTAGCGATACAAGCCCTTTCTTAAATAACACTAGTTTATTCTTTCTTAATACAACTTTGCACTACACTTAATTTCCACAGTCACGCTATAACGTAAACAAACGCTATAATTCACAACAAACGATTCACGCGCTTGACTCAATTGTCCGTCTCTATCTCTGTCTGCAGTTCAATTACATTGTTGCCGTTGCAATTCATATCCACTTAATTTGTCTCACGTTATCCGGCGCACTTATATACAGGAATAGAGGGCGCCCAGCACATACTGGATTATTCGTGGTGTTCCCCGATCCTTCGAGAATATCATGACGTGTTACCAGAGTCATGTGACTACCACTGTCGTAACACTGCCCCTTCCTTAGTATTGTTCGTCCCGACGAATAACCACTTACATTAAACCAATAGATAATTAACAATAACTTCATTAAATGTACAGAATTTACAAACAATTCCGTTGGGAATTGTCCTATCACCGGTAACAATCACATCAGTGGCAGTAACTTCATCAAAGGCTTCACTGTTTCCCTTCTCAAAACCGAGCAGAGTTTCTTCTTCGACAGTGGCCTTTCCAGTTGACACGTCTACAGCGGCATCTTTTGTTCCATTGTTCACTTCATCCCAACTTCTTATCATAACTTAACATCACCGAATCAGCAG